TTTAATATTGGTGTCTTTCTGCTTACTCCTGAAATACAAAAAAAAAACTTCACATGACCACCACTCGTGCACCTATGCATGCCGTGATTGCAATGCTTCCTAAAGGTCTGCGTATATAGCACTTGACCGGGTGCGCTGCCTCGACAGACAGCGAGGATGGTGGTGGCTGTGCAATGACGCATGTTGTGCTAGCGGTAACACAAGCGACAAGCTCTGCGTCTGCTTATCGCTGTCGTAAACCACAGCGAAACAAGCATATCAACTGTACGCGGAACGTTGGACAGCACTGAAACGACGCCTCTATTTTCTTAAATGCCAGTGCAAACGCGAGCTTCTCAACGGGAGCCGTCGGTCCGTCTTAATTCAGGAAGAGCTAGGAGTCGCGCTGCTCGCGTCACACGTGCTTCAGAGCGCTTTTAGCCGGGATGCCAGACGTGTTCCCCACTCTAATATCATACGTCTGTCAGATTTTGTTTCTTCGGCTCCTTTGTGGCTCGAGCAATGCCACCGCTGCATCACAGCACTCTCAAAGTCGCCGCATGCAGTTGCGTTGAAGTAACGCTTCCCCATTGGATACCCGCGTAGCGCCACAACAACGACACGCTATCTCTAAACACCGTATCTTTTACACAGTTCTCCCCCTGAAAGACAGTACGAGGCTCACTTTTATCTTCTACTCATTTAGGAATCACTTACTACTTACTACAGAGCGGTGGTCTAGTGGCTGAGGTATACACTCGGCTGCTGCCCCGCAGGTCGCGGGATCGAATCCCGGCTGCGGCGGCTGCATTTTCGATGGAGACGGAAATGCTGTATGCCTGTGGGCTCAGATTTGGGTGCATGTTAAAAAACCCCAGCTGGTCGAAATTTGCGGAGTCTCTCATAATCATATGATGGTTTTGGGACGTTAAACCCCACATATCAATCAATCTTACTACAGAGCCAGCGTGACAGACAACATTATGAACACAAAAAATGCAAGACGCCGCCACACGTATCTGTATGCAACGGGACAAAAGATTACTTATGATTTCCGTCGTGAGGCACTACATGAGGGCTCTCTCTCCCATGACTGCAAAGCACTCACGAAGGCCGCGTTGGGTGAGAGCAGGAAGAGCTAGAGGAGAGGGTGGTGAACAGCTAGATTGAGCGCATCTGGTTGGCATTGATAAATAGAGAGGCGCTGACTGAAATCACGGTACGCATTAGCAGTGGCACGCTGTCTCTTTTTTTTTTTATTTTGTGGGCATGTAAGCAAAGAAACAAACAAAAAAAAAACATCAGGCCTATTACTGAATAGACAGACAGTTAGCACTGTCTAATGAAATATTTTGCAAACCGGTCTACAACTTTCTCGTTGTAATTTACCGGACAAATTCGTCGCTTCAAAAGTTACGTCTTCAAAAACGCCTAAGTAGGCAATTGAGCGAACAACGAAAAATAGTGTGTGAGTTACTCCATACAATTTTATAGTAACAACATGAATTAGGTCGCGTCATTGCAGAGTGAGTCGGCATATTTTTAGACTGGCTAAAAATAGCTGAGACACTCCGTATATTGGGCACAGACGGCGTCGAAAACATTGAGCACAAAGTAAGTAATACACAGTTTGCGAGTACGAGTTGGCTTCCAGGTGATCCGTATCCCCACTCAGTGCAAAATAAAGTCAACTTCAAGTATCCGCGTCACTGTGTTTTAAACAACGCATGCGTATCGAGAGGTTAACTGCTCCGGTTATCTGTGGACAATCCTAAGTGACAAAGATAAGCTGTTTTTTTTTTTTTACAGTATAGATTCGATCACATTGGCCAAGGTTCCACGATAATGAAGCGAAGTCCCGTGTTGCGGCAGCTTTACAGTCACCTTGAAAATTAAGGTGATAACACCCAAGCATAATCCTGAATATACAGTGTAATAAGACAGCTGTAATAGTGATGAACAGCTTCGCAAGACGCAAGATCCGCATGCGACCTTGATTCTATCGCAGTTGTTTTAAAAAAAGAACCCAAGCAGAGAAAGGCTATCAGCCCATCTGTGTACGAGTGTATACAGGTCCACCTTGCTACACCTCCGTCACACAAGGTGACCGAGATAAGCGGAGATTCAAAGTGATTTTGCCGTTAGGAAATCGGTTTCATACGTAAAGCAGATCGGACACCTTGAAGATGCATTAGCTGTAATGTAAAAAAAAAAAAAAAACAGGCCTTCGCGGAACGCGCCGCACACTGCAGTCGCACCGAAGGCTGGAAGAGTGGCTTTTCAGGGTTCTTTTATAACACTCTTTATGTAACTGATATAATCACTCTTGCTGGGCCGTCATTCACTATGCTATCTCTCGTCATTCTTCGGAGAGGCGTGGTATCCGCTTCGCACTTGCAAGAAAGTTTGCGCAAGTTCTTATTCGTTGCCCGACGACGACAAAAAATTTTGCCTGAAGTGGGTATGCGCCACAGTTAATAGAGGATCAAGACAAGCTTTTGTAATGGCTTACAGCATTGGACGGCCCACTCGTTAAGCAATTCGCATTGTGTGACATCTGCTTGTTCCTTTGCTTTTCTAAAACGCTTCTTACTCATGCTAACGAGATTCTTTCTTGACATCAAGCCTGTCTAGGGTAAATTTTCAACGGAGGTTCAAGCACGGACGTGACTCTGTGGTAGTATGCTGGGCTGGCACGCAGAACCCGGGTTCGAATCCTGCTGTTTCCTTGGTGTTTTTATATAGTAAAGTTTTTTTTCTTATTTCGTGTGATAGTGGTTACGGCAACCAGCGGCGGCGGCGGACAAGTACGGCGGCACACACGCCCCTAGTTGTGATCTCATAACAGCTATCGCTGTAAAATAACTCACTTGAATCATCGATGTCGAAAAACACGGCACCTGCCTTTGACGTTTAGGCTAAACTGTATGTTCCCCTTCTACTTCTTGCAAGAGCAGTAAATTAATATGCGCCACGTTTTAATGGAGTTATATTAGCTCTATGCAAGTTTACACATGTGAAAAAGTAAAGACCTGTATGAAGTTCTTGCTGGCATATCGACGTAAAAACATGTCTCAAACATGCTGCTGCGTCTTTTCCAGATAGCAGACACTTTGCCACGCCGGTACATGCTTTACCTGCATAGCTTGGAGAAGAAAAGTTTTCAGAGTACGTAGAAAGGAATTCGGATGTAATTTTGGCTGTCTCCGTCACAATCTGTGCTCTAGGCCGATTATACGGGCCTTCGAACACGCCAGTGCTTCAGATTACGACGGCGCTGTGCTCGCGACTCAACTTGGCGCACACGGAGCAAGTGTTGTGCCTCGGCACCTGGCCCCTTACACGGACAAGAAACCGGACTTGACGTTTGGGGCTTTTCCGCTAAAGTAGAGCACACGAAAAGACGACGCAATCTCTGCTGGAAGCTGCACCAGTGGGACGCTGCGGGGGTCGATATTTGCCGCACGTACACCAGCCATACGCATCACGTGCTTTCTTTTTTTTTTCGTAATTCCAGATTTCTTGTGAGACCGTGATTGTGTCCACGCAATGTATTAGCGAAAACTCAGCTAGTGGCAAATGAATCCCACCAACTTCTACCAAACTCGTTTTCTACCTCAAGGTCCACTCTATAAAAGAAATGCAGGCAGCAAACAGGCCTCGCAAGACGTCGCATGTGATCACCTTAACATTGCCGAAATAACAACTTTCTTCAATGAACTTTGTTGGCCAAGTGCAAGTTCGCTGGATGTCAATGTTTCCATGCCAAGGTCACTTGTTTATACTGTAGTGGATTAAATAAAAGTTCTTGCTAAGACAACGTCCTGCAATACATCTTAGGGGAATACTGGAGCGTGATGATGAAAAGAGATATGAGAGGAATATATGAATAAATGTAAAAAACCACAGCTTCGCAGTTCGTTGGTATTTAGAGGATACGAGGAAAGTCATGACAAAAACATGACTACAAATTTGTTAGACGTTATGTTTGTCATAAGGAAAGCTAGACATCCCCGAAGCTTTACGAAAATTGCGGCTACTTTTTCAAACTAATCAAAAGTTCTGGTTGTTCTGAGAGGTTTTGACGCCACGTTGCTTTGGTGATATACGTAATACAGTAAGTGCACCTGAAAACCGGCGCTCTTTTATAAGAAGACTATGCTAACAACAAAACACTTTTAAACATAGCATGCGCAGAAGAGTCCCTCTTAATGGGGGGGGGGGGGGCGAAGGTTTATCGAAGTGCTCCCCTTCCTATTATGTGAAAGTATGGGACAGGCCTTCGAACCCCTCTCTTAGGTGACTAGGGGGGTCGCCCCCTCTGCCCCCCTCGTGTGCACACCTATGCTAATAAAGAAAGAGCTACAAAACAGGTACCTTTGTATTTTGCCGCTCGCACGAACGCGGGTAAAAGAAATAGAACTGTACTATCGATGTTGGAAGTATTGTGGTGTGATTTGCAAAGGCTATATCTACAAGGATATATCTGAAATAGAAACATTCCCCCTTATTAAATTCTGACTGCGGCTTCACTGCATGCCAGCATCAAAAAACTTTCCAGCCGTAGGTTCAGCAATACGTTTTCACGGTCTCTCAGGCTTTACACGAATATTCCTCGTAGCTTTCGCGACAAGCTGCGCCATAACCACATAAGACAGCAAGGCATGCATTTGTAATGAAGTGCTACTTCGAGGAGTTGAGTGGTCCTCATTGGTACGTTGGACGACAGGAAGCAGACGGGACGATAAATGTCCAGTATGCCTCGGCTGGTCCGGCGTGTCCGGTGAGAAGCAGCCGACTTCCCGAAGCGTGGCGGTAAAGTGTTTTCGTTCCTGGCATTCTCGAAAGTGGTGGGACCCGAACCGAGGAACCGCGTGTTGCGCTCATCCTCGCAGGCAGCGGCGAGACAAATTCACGCAAAAGGCAAAGCTCGGCACCAGGGACGTCGGGAGCACTGCCCGTGGTGCTGGTCGCGAGGGGGTCTGACAACAGTCTCAAAGCAATTAGCGAGTTCTACTCACACACGAGTGAAAGGGAGATGAGAAGCAGGCAGACGAGGCACGCAAGAGACTTCATGTTGGCGGCGCAAGAGGCACAAAAGCGAGCCCTTCCTCGGCGGCTGGTTTAAATACAGCGCCCAACCGGTTGCACGCGGGTCACCTGACGACGCGAGCACCGCGGCGGCAAAGTGGAACGCCTCCCCCACGCCGCCGCCGCTAACGACTTGACGCGGGAACCCGGAAACCATCAGCGGCGGTGGCGCCCTTCAGCCATGCTCCCGCCACCGTGTCTGACCTACTGGCGATGTCAAAGAAAAGCGAATCAAAACCTACGCATCCTATTCGGCAAGTAAGATGCGCGTGAGCACGCTTCGTCCTCCCACACCGCCCGCCTTTTGTCAGCCCACTGCAGAGCTGAAGATGTGGGATGTCGGCACAAGGTTACACGGAGCCCAATTCGCTGAGAGCGCTCATCTCCGGTAAAGACGCGAAATCGTCCTCTCCCCAGCCTGCCTGCTGGTCAGTTGCATGGCAAGCGAAGAGTGTTCCGCATTAGTAAGAAGCCGTGGCAGGCAGGAAGGCGTCACAGCAAACCATAGTTCACACATAGACATGGTGACGGAGCTGCCAGCATTGGCGAGGACATGGACTCGAGCGACTGAGCATAAACAAACTGAACAGCACTTGGCATAACTAAAAACTTAAACTGCAGAAAGTTACTCCATCAAACAACCTACGATTTCCTTGTGCACGTATAAGTGAATTCGGACGCATATGTAGCCGCCTTACTTGGCACGCAGAGGTCCGCCATCCCAATGGTTTCTACACGTCAATTACCTCAGCCTGCTGTCAGACACTGACTAGCCCTTTTTGCGTTCAGAAAAGAACGGCCGCTTTTCGGTCATGTGCTATCATCTGTAGCGGCACTCGTACTGCGGGTGCCGAAAAGGAACGAACACCGTGGGGCGGACGATGCGACGGCGAGAGTTGCGAGGACAGAAATGGAAATCGCGTGCCTAAGAAAGTGTTCCCCATGCGCTCTGGATAGCCGGCAGTTAGTTATAATAAGTAAAAATTGTATGTATGTATGTATGTATGTATGTATGTATGTATGTATGTATGTATGTATGTATGTATGTATGTATGTATGTGTACGACAGCGTGACGACGGCCGCCATGACGCAAACCTCGAATTAGTTCCTTCCTATAAATATCTCGGAGTAACCCTTTGTAGCGATTTAACTTGGGCAACGCACATTTAGGACATCATTGCATCTGCTAACAAAACACACGGATCTTAAAACGCCATTTGCGTCACGCTCCTAATAATGTCAAATTACTAGCTTATCAATCTCTCGTAAGGACGAAGATAGAATACGCATCAGCCATTTGGAGCCCGCATCAAGCATATCTCATCAATCAACTCGAGTCACTTCAAAATCAAGCCACACGATTGATTCATTCTACGTACTCTTACGACGTCAGCATATCAGCACTGAAAACAGAATCTGGCCTATCATTGCTTGCATCTCGTCGCCGCATTTTTAGTCTTTCCCTTTTTCACAAGTTTTTTTACAGCTCGCTCGGCAGGCCACCATACATTCTTCCTCCGGCACGCATCTCCCATCGCACTGGTCACCCGCAACAAGTTGCGCGGCCGCGTACGCGCACCGTCACTTTTTCGTCCTCATTCTTTTTTCGTGCAGCTACGGACTGGAGCGGCCTTTCTAACGAAATCACGCCATAACCTGTCCTACCACCTTTTTGAACACCGTAACAAATTACCTTGCATTGTAAAAAAAATGGCTTTCACGTTTTCATATATGTACCCACCCCTTATGTAATACCCCTTCAATGGGGTCTTTAAGGTAATAAAATGAAAAATGAAAAATGAAATGACATCGAAATGCCTTCGCGGGCACGACGCGCGGCCAAGGGTAATTTCGAATTCCGGTACTTAGACCATGAGAACAGCCAAAGAGCGTTTGAAATCTGGAGGTGACCCTCCCATGTCGGTGTTCATGTGTATTCCTTCGATGAATACAAGCGCTTTGCGCGTTGCCGAAGGATATTTCAGGGCAGAAAGAAGCATTTGGTTGCGATCTGCTCCCCAGGTATCGCAGTGATGAAACCCGTCTCCTCTTTCAATGAACCAATTCAATTTTGACTATTTATCTTGACAGTTAATTAACGCTTGAGTAAGCTTACGCTCGGGAATCATATATGTAACCAGAGCCATCTACTTCGCGCCAGGTTTACTCACACAATGCAGCTGCCCTTGCGAACCGGGTAGCGGTGTAGTTCGTTAAAACAGGTCACGTCACGAGGGAGAAGGAGGAGCCTTGTGAAAGGAGGAACAAAAGGAGGTCATGTGATCTATTGCGAAGAGGAGGCGTAATTGAAGGAGGAGCGAATAGAGAAACAAATAAAAGGTTTCCTTGATGAGGCGAGCTTTGAACCCGGTACTAACACAGTCATGAGCACTGGCTATTCGCCCCGGGATCTCTGAGTGGCCGTCCTCTCACATGTGACGTCATCGCGGGACTCGGCTCGGCATTCGTGCGCTCGCTGCGTGAAGGCTGCTCGACGCTGTCGGCCGGACTGTGTCTTGCTCGAGTTATGGAAACATTCGGGAGCAAGTTCATAAAACAATTTGCACTGAAAGTTCAAGCAAGGTGATTTGGGAAATCAAGCGGAGCTGGCGCCACGAGCAAGTTCAGTGTCGATTACTTATGGAACGTTTCATCTGCCAGCCATCAAATTTTTACGCTTGCGTGTATATGGTCGCGAGCACTTGTTATCACGACTGCTCTATGGCCTTGATGCACTCATATGCACTCACATGCACTCGCCGTGGTAGCTCAGTTGGTAGAGCATCGAACGCGTTATCCGAAGGCCACAGGTTCGGTTCCTGCCCACGGCAAGTTATCTGTTCACCACTTTTTATTTCTTCACATTTACATTAGGATGCGGTCAAATAACTTACCCTATACATTTCTCGGTATTATTGTCTGTTAGATCTCATTAATAAATACACGTGAGTGTGGGCGAAAACCTAAAGAAAAACTGGGGAAAAAACGTATGTTCGTAACTGACGCAATGGTATGCCAGGTCGCAGGGCACTTTGAAGGCTGCACACCGGTTTGGCCCCGCATAATTGTAATGCTCGAGGTGAACCGGAAGATATCGTTTCCGTACTCACAAGCTTGTAAGTTATACGACGAACCGGAAAAATCTTCCCTCTGTCCATGCAGGACACGCGCCGCTTTGTCTGCTTCTGTACAGAGTGAATTCGTAGAACAACCCGATCGACGCATGCAGTGCGTATACGGTGATGAGACAAGAAGAACAGTACTCTCCCTTCGGAGAATATCAATGTCTTGTATTTAGGGGTGCGCGAATAGAGGATTTCATAACGCATCAAATAGCGATGACACCGAATTGAATACGAATGTCATATACTGTTCCAATAGTAAGGCAGCTATTTTGAAAGCAGCCATTGACTGCTATAAGGTAACAATATTCAAAAGGGCCCAAGCAATCCGCATCCTTTTATTTGAAACAATCGTTCAACAACAAAAAAACTCAACAAAAAAAAATCACATTACGATCACTTCTGAGCGACAAAAAAAAAATTGCCATATATAGTTGTTAAAACTGAGGCAGGCTAGCGTATATACATGGTCGAAATATTTAGCAGCAGGATAATATGTAGCAGTGACTACAATATTTGAGCTACTTTTTCAATAAGTTTTAAATAAAAAAAACTGATACATAAATATTAGGCAATTTCATGAGTTAGAATCATCATGAATGTCGTCGCGAAGATAGTGTATTGCTCACTCTGTCGCTTTATCGACACATGGGATTTGAATGAAAACGCTCCTGTGATCAACAAACTCTCGATAGTCCAAAAGTACATGGGCTGCATGCATCAGGGTGAATCGAACATGCGAACGAGAAAATCTGCCCTTCGCTGTTCTAACGTCTCGTCATTTTCTGCATTACTTCGTCGTTGCTGGATATTAGAAAAAAAGTATTTGAAAAAAGATTAGTATTACGCATATGGACGAATCGATTCGAGCACCGAATCGAATACAACGCTGTTCGATTCGCTATTCAAAATTTTTGAATATTCGTCCGCCCCTGCTTGCAATGCTCGCGCATTGCTTCACGCAATGCACCACGCGCCATCTGGCTTCGCTTTGAGCACCACTTCATTTTCCTTGCTCGGGAAACAGCACCGATAGCGGGACAGTGAGAAGGGATGTAGCTATAACAACATTGGTTTCATACGATCTGTCACGGGGCGATAGGTTAGGTATACATTTTGGTCGCGTTCTTCAAATGCAACTGTCAAAAAACGAGTCTATTTCGTCAACACGCACAGCAAGGCGTATTCATCACTTACAAATCACACACCGCTGCGTAACCTTCCCTTAATTCTTCCCTCCGTGCTTAATTAAATGTCCACCTGCACATGTGCTTTATCATGTAACTATGATAATTTTCTTTTTAATTATTGCCTGCAGCAGCATGACACACTTATGGTGAGGCTCCGCCCATCTAAAGGCTGTTTCACATGCCACGATTGCAGCGAGAAAAAAATCGTTCCGTTCGCTCCATTCGCGCTGTTCGCAACCGTCGCTAATGGCGGTTTCGTTTCACATAGACCGCGAACGGTCCGCGATTCTCGCTCTACGACTGGAGCGGCGAGTTATTGCCACCGCTCATTGTGACAGACACGAATGTAATGTAATAATATGTGCATTATGATATCATGAAGTTACTGTGAACGCCAACGAAGGGCTCGCTTGTTTCGTCATTTAAGAACACTTTCCAGTCTGAATTCATTTTGAAATGCCCAACATCGGCCATTACCAAAACAAACACATTGACTCTATTTCGACGGCTTGGCCAGACCAGCCCGACTTCGACGGGTCCCGACCAAAAATCGCTCCTGCCGCTGCGATCAGAGCGAAAATTTCCAACATGTTGGAAGCTCGCCGCGGACCGCTGCGGCGGGAGCGAACTGCTCTTTTTTCGCTGCGAGCGAATTCGCAGCCTGAAAATCGCTACTCTTTGTGTCATGTGAAACGGCATT